CAAAAATTATTTTGAGCGATTTCGAGATACTTGCAACGATCGGTTCAAATTTTTGAACGGCGGAGAGCTCGAATTTCAACTCGGCCGAATCTTTGACTGCTCCACCTCCTCACGCGCCGCCGTCTACGGCGAACAAGGTTGACACCGGCGGACTCGCAACGACACAAGGAACACGATGGTGCAGGAGGTGTCGTAAACGGAGCAACGATCGGTGATGAATTTGAGATTTTCCCGGCGATCGAGCTAAATAAAACATCGAGACTTTGACTGGAAAATCCTGACATTTGGCAACGTTTCGCTTCAATTAATTTGAAGGGTTTGTTTCTCGCTCGATGATGAACACAACGGTGGTTTCAAAACGACGATCGTAATTCGGTCGGCGTCGGGATCTAAGTCGGAAACCGACGTAGGGGGAAGGGAATTTGGGAGTGTGGTTTTCTGTTTTTGAAACAGAAACCACACGTATATAACATATAACCCCAAACTTACCTAATTTTTTTAGGTAAATTCAAGGCTTAGTCCCTGAATTTTTTTTAACTCTAAAACAAACTCCAAGTTTTAAAATCTTTCAATTTAATCCCCAAAATTTTGCCAATTTTCACAATTAACCTCCAATTTCAATTAAATACTATTTTGTAAATATTCGGGTTGTTACAAATAAGCTACCTAGTAGTTATCCTTATCTATTTAACTTTCTAAGAGTTAGTATTATATTAAATTACTAACTAATAAGACTTATCGCATAACCTACAAAACACCCCCCCAAAAAAAAAAATAATAACAAAAAATCTAGGTATTGATAGTTGCTATGTTATCATAAACCGAACAAACATCACTTCTCTTCCTCCTTTTTGGGTGCCTTGTCCTCATCCTGCTTCTGCTGGGTAGCATAAACATCACCGGATATTATATAAACAAGTTTGATGATAACAAACACACATTGCTCGTATCAATTAGATATTTGCTAAAAAAAATTAGATCGAAAGGCCACACAAAAGAGGCAGCCCCCTAACACCTAAAACATTCAAGCGGGAACAAATAGCAATGCATTTAATACAACTACGAACCACCAAGAAGTGCAAAATTTCCCCCAATCCCTACTATAAATCATTTTATCCTGCCCGAGTTTGAGGAGCTCACATCAGACTGGTTTTGCATGGAAGCAAGCACTTAACTGAAGGATCATTTGGATCTACCCCAGGAAGCTGCACAAGCAATTGTTTTATCATCAAATGATCATTATTTTAAATCTGGTGTGAGGGGGAAAAAAACAGAAAATGCAGTAGACATACCGACGCAAGGATGGAGGATACAAAAGACTGGTCTGCCAACAACTTACTCATATCTGCCTGACTAGATGAATCTTTTGTACTGTCTTGCACAGATAAATGAAGAGCTGAGAGAATTGGAAATACAGGGAATTAAATCAGAATACACGGAAAAAGAAATTAATATGGACATATCAGGGTCTAAACTTGCATCAACAATTTTCCGAGACAAAGGACAACTAATATTGAAAGATGATTTAACTCATATTGTAAGCTAAAAAAGCTATGAACTTTTTAAGTCGTTCAAAAAACTTAAGTGACCCAAGAACACTCTTTGGTATCATTGACCATCAGGCTGCAACCAACAAAATATGTATATAATTAAAATTTTCCTAACACCTATGTAACTGGTTTTTAACGTAAGGCAAGGAACAGTTGTTAAAAATGTTGCTAATCCTTCAGCGGGCACTTATAAAAAGGACCCGGGTGCACTTACCTAATGCTAGCTCTGGATCCTCAGCAGCTGCATCTGACATCTCAGTATCCTGTAAATCTTGGCTAGAGGCAGGCTCATCCATCGACATAGCAAGAGCCTGCTGTAGTAAAGTACTATCATCATCCTGTAACAAACTCAAGGTCAGTCATACGTCAACACGAAAGAATGTGAAAGCATCAATCATATCTTCTTATGAAATGATTTTCCCACTTGAAGCAGCTATCCTATCAAACTAAGAAATAATGAGACAAACTAATACTACCCTTTTACAATATCATCTACATCAAGAAAATCATAGGAAATTAAATGGGAGTATAATGATACTAACTGCAATTTCATTTTTCTTATTATCAGCTTCTGAAGCTCCCTCACTGGCACGACTGCATCTTGTTCTTCCCCACCCTTTTCCTGTTTTGATGCCTCCTATGCCGTTTTTTTTTTTTTTTGCCTGGCTCTCTCTCCTCTTCCATTGAAACTCTAAGAGCTAGGGCCAGTTCAGGATCAAGGTTGGGATCCACACCGAACTCAAAACCTGAGACGACATCAGCTGCAGCTGTAGCTGCCGATGCTGCAAAACCACTTCCACCTTCTCCGTCCCCGGTGAAGATGGGGGTACTGCCATGGGAACAAGAAAGATCCAGCTTCAGCAATAAGATCACAATCATGAGCAATTTGAATGCAGGAAAGAGAAAACAACTGAATCACCAACCTTATAAGTACATCAGAGAGAGCATTAGGACCAGCAGGAACATGAACAATGTGACTAGTATCATTATTGTAAACAGCAGCAAGAAGCGCTTCAAGCTTCATTGTCTTCCCTTCATCATCTTCACCAAAATTTACAATGTCAAGTGCTACACTATTCTTTTTCAACTTCTTTCCAATCATCTCCAATGCCTTCTTGTCATGCATGACAGGGCTGCAAGCAATCACAGCACATCTTTACAGCCAAAAACATAGAAAGAAAACATTTCTCAGTTAACAGCATAAAAACGTACTTTCCAGCAAAGACGATAATCCTTTGCTGCTGCTTTTTATTCTGGCGATGCTTGAGCGCCAACTGAGCCACTTGAATCCCAGCTGCCAAGTTCATTTCACCACCTATTTCTAAGCCTAAATTATGATAAGCAAAAGCTCCAATTTAGTAACTTTTGCTATGACACAACGCTAAGATAATTAGAATATGTGCCTAAAGAACGCTAAGAAACAAACCGTGCATGCAAGCAAAGATTTTTCCAAGATCACCTGTAGGAGTGTCCAAAACACGCACACCTTTTCCTGCCATTGTTAAAACTCCAACTGTATTCTCTGGATTAGACTGTAAAATCAAATCCTCCAATTCAATAAAAGCTCTCTCTCTCTCTCTCTCTCTCTCTCTCTCTCTCTCTCTCTCTCTCTCTCTCTCTATATATATATATATATATATATATATATATAAAATTAAAAAAATTCAAACTGTATCCTCTTTTTAACTCCTGTTTACCTGAGTTTTAGCTCCGCAAATGAGATTGACAGTATCGGCTTGAGCCTGAAATCGAGAGGGAGCGTAATCACCATAGCGCATCCGCTCCGAATTATCAATACAGATCATCGTTGCCTGCGCGTGCACAAAAAAATAGGATAAAAACAATTTTAGTGAATTGATTGTTTCTCCATGTTTGAGCTAAGTTTTGTAATTCTAACTGTGAATTGATTCTTTTTTTATAATATCCATATTTCACAGGTAACTGTGACTTTCCGGAATCAAGTGGATTGTACATTCTAATCATTCAAACTTTCAATGATTCTATAGTTGTCATTTTTATGCATGTTATGATCAGGTAGTTTGTTTCTCCGAATTAAACATTAAACTATGAATTTAATAGTGCTATGATTGTAGGCGTTTAACATTCCACAATCGACATCTTATTTTCATTTCTTTATTTCGACCAGCTCTCTCTAACAAAGAAACATTGACCAACAACCTTCATTTTCTCATCGTCTGTGACACTCCGTCCAAACCAAGAGGGATGAACTGTCAACAACCGACAAGTCAAACTTGTTGCCATTAACAACCTTCAATAAAACTTTTTTATTACAATTTTATTTAAATACAATTACAACATACTCGTAATAATGATTGTTGTTATATTACATACATAACTTTTTATGATAACTTATCTATATGTGGTTTAAGTCATATATCTCATCTTACATCTCTTTGATGTGTTGTTGGGGTAGCATGTGTTCATCTCAAACTCATCTGAGCTGGACCGGAATTACATGTGCTCATCTCGCAATCCTCTAAGATGGATTTGGGTTGCGTGTGCTCATCTCACACTCTTCTGAGTTGGTATCTTCCTTGGTAGCCTTCTTCACTCATCCACTCCCTGTAATGATGCTTGCATGTTGGTTTTATATGTTCTCTTTCTCGTCTCTTGCTGATTCTTGTCTTGTTCATATGACATCTTCCTTGTAACTTTATGATTGACGTTTCATCACGTTCAAGAGTAGTTTTTCTTATGCTAATCGATTTTACTTTTGACTCAGAATCTGAGGGCGAGATTGCATGTTTGGATTTTTGCATGATTGACTCTTTCGATTGTAAGTTGTTATGTGCTCACCACATCAAATATTGAGAAAGAGCATGTGGAGTGGTGGTGCACGATAGTTTAGAAGTAAAAAAAAAGAAAAGAAAAAGAAATATGAAGGTTAGTCGATAATTTGTGATTCACCCTTCTTATGGGGGTGAAAAACTACAAGTCATTCAAAATTAATCTTAAAGGGTCTTTCTCTGATAGGTGTGGGAGAAAAAGTGAATTTAAGGGGAGAAAGAAAATTCTGAGCCCCTTGTGTCCTAAAAGAGTTAAATTATATACTTCAAACGTCCAAGAGTCGCATGACCGGGAGAGAATATGGTACTAAATAGGTTGAACCCAAATTATCATAAACCTATTGTTTAAATTTGTTGGGCTTATCAGGCTATTCAGATTTCTAGCTATTAACTATTAATTAAGCCATTAGGGAGCGGTTCAATCTGCACCCCGAGATGTAACATCGGAATTGCTTGTTAGTTGTTATTGGGCGGTCTTGGAGTGGAACTCTTCCGGATTGGAAGAGAGTATAACATCATCATCAAGGATAGTTGACAAAATCTGAGTTTCATCAAGCATATATGTTTAGAATTTGAAAATAATCAATCGTTCCATTTACTGATTGCTTCATTCTTGTTCATACTTTACATGAAAAATAGAAAATGGTGAAAGACTAGTATGAATATCCTCCAAGGAAATTGTTTACATAATTCGGCCATTTCTGGACTAAATGAAAGTACCATTTACAAGGATTTCGTGCTGGAAAGACTGCTAGTTTTTTAACCCTTTGGTTGAAAATTAGATGGCTCAACACCGGTGGACCAATCAATTTGATGCCGGGAAGATGAGTTGTTACCTATCACGCTGCAGTAAATATACTGGCTGGACATTAAAAGGCTACATCAGCATCATCCCAGACAATTTGTGCATGATGTGAATAGACCGGTGCAGAAACAAACTTCTGATGGGGATGGCACTTGCAAGCACAGAAAGCACTCTGAAACATAACATTAGGAAGAAAACAAAATTGAAATTAGAGGTATATGGGGAAAAAGTGTTTTACGCATATCATATGATCGATTTGAGAGATGTTTATTTCATACCCTGATAGAAAACAAGCCAAAAGATCGTGTTAAAAATAATTGATTCTAAACCCTGCTGCTCCTCTTGACCTGTCGAATGAATATGAAGAGAGTTCAGTGACAAGAAGATATGTCGGATTAAGATTCTTATCTTTGCAATAAAGGAGAGAATGTAGAAAAATTGTATCTTCGTGACATGCTACAAAGATAAATGAGACTGTCAATTTGAGTAATTTTTTCACCACTAAGTGCCATCATTTTGCAATTAGGCGAAGTAAACATCGACAAGGAAACTATCTCACTGCTATTTATCTCTCTCAACTGCTAGACTAAGAAAAGACTTTCTTATATCCAAGATTAAGAAGCAAAGTTGGACTTTCTAAAATCTTATATTGCTATGTAGGCTGTCTAAGGGTTAGTTTATGGCTTTATGCAAGGTGGAGATTCAACAAACTTTTTGTAAAAAGCATAAGCCACATGATGCTTTAATCAGAATGAAGGAATTCTCTTCGTACTTTTATCAAGATTTGTGCAATGCCATTACCAGTATTGATTAGAAGTATTCCCCTAACAGATTTTCGGGGAAAAACATTCCCCAACCTTAATTATTAACTTCCATGTGTACAATTAATTAAATAATGATCATGGGGCTTAGTATATCCATGAAATCAGAGACACTAGAAGTTACCAATGATTTCGATATTATGACATATGGTGGTACATGGAAAAAGTCAGTTCCTTTTGGTCTACTAAGGGCAACTATAGTAGTCCCTTTAATTTCTTATAGTGCATCCATAATTTCAAATGATTTCACGTTTACAATAGCTTAAAGCTCAGACTCTATAAACCATTCAGCTGGTTATAACAAAAATAGATGCATCCTTGTTCCAGTAGCTCGACGTGTGAATATTAAATGAGGATTAAAGTTGCACTATGCACACAAACCTACAACAAAGGCTTTTGTTCACTTCACTAACCTCAGAATATGCAAACTTGGTTGTCATATCGAGTTTGCATACAGGGCAGAATGTTCCCCACTTAGTCAGCCATGACTCTACACAACTTGAATGAAAATCTGCATGAAAATTTAATGTTGATTAACTGGTTATATCTACACAATAATACTAGAGTAAGAAAACAGGAACTCAAATATAGATGATAGGGGAAACAAGCTTTGAATACGATGTTCATATATCTGCAATATCATCTCTCTTTTCCAACAAATGCTGATGGCTCGTTAAACTGTGGAATTGAATTATTTTCTGACTAAACTGATTGAATACTTGCATGAATACAGTAATAATGGGACCTTGATACAGCCAATGGTCCATTAAACATATTCATCAAGCTAAGTCTTACCCATATCTTGAATTTGTGAAAAAATTATAATTCATGATAAAGGAATTCAGCATAGACTAAAAGTCATATATCCTACACTTTCTACATTTTAAACACTTGAACTTCTCAGCCTCATGAAAATCAAGGTAGCATGTTGGAGGCTAAAACAATCTTTAATTATCCACAAGTAAACATGCACTGCAAATGCATAACAGGCTAGATATGATCCATAGGGGCGAAACCAACCATGTTGACAAGGAAGCACTTTAAGAAGTTCCCCATCATTATAATCCTCAAGGCAAATCGCACAAGTTTCTGCGTAAGTACTGGCATGGTCGGAACTGAACACAACACAAGGAAGAGCCTCAACCGTTTTAGTATCCACACATTTTACTAAATTTCTTCTTCGCCAATTCGACAAGCTTCGGGGAGCAATAAAGGCTATCACCAAGAAAGCTGCTATAACAACAAGTGATAGGAAACAAATAGCAAAGACCGTCCACGCCTTCCCATTCAAGGGTGGGTAAATACAGCATTCCCCTTTTTCACCTCTAGCACGATCTTTCAAAAATTCACCAGAAGATTTAGAAATAAAAACAGCTAGCACGTTGATTCCTTTAGGGTTCACCATCACTTCAAAAAACAAAATACCTCAATGAATCTAATATTATCAAAGGAATTTCTATAGCTCACTAAAATAGATTAATTCTATTGAATTACTTCTAAATGTAAAAAAAAGGAAATAAATCATAAAGAAATTCAACTTACTGTAGACTAAATTGCTACTATATTTATCATCGAAAACAATTGCGGCAGAAAATCCCCCATTTTGAGCGTTTCGGATTTTCTCCTCGAAAGAACAATTGCCTCTAATTATCAAAGCAAACCTTACAGTGTCACTTTTATTGGATCCGAATTCGTTTCGGAGCGTTGTGCAAGCATCCAAGGGAACCGCCACTTCAAGAGCACCGCAGACGGAGGTGTTATTCCCAACAGCTAAACAACATAAAAAAGAAAAGCAATTAATTTTTTTATTTGAAGTTTGATTTTTTTAAAAAGAATTCTTAGCTGAAAGTAGGGCATAAAAACAGTTTAAGCTTGAAAGAGTTCGTTTCTTAAGTTTTCCTGCATTTTCTTAGTAAACAAACAGGAGAAGGATGAAGAAAAGTTACCGAATTTGGCAGGAAGGTCTGGCAAGGAAATAGAGAACGGCTTAAAAACAACGGTAGCAGAAGCTATTTCGCTGAAGAAAGCAATAAATACTAAGAAAAATCCAAGCAAAGCTTCCCTCATTGACATCCCTTTATTTGTTTCTCTATTTTTTTTCCAAACCTGTTCAAGCTTTGTTTCAGATTTTTATGAACAGTGGAGTAAAAAAGATTCTTGTAGAAGGCGCTAGCTTTCGGCGGAAACGTCGTCGTTTTATTAATATGATAAGACGGTGCGTTTTTTATGGAGTTGGTGGTAAGGGTTTATATTTTTACGTTTTTCTTACGCTTTCACGAACTTTAGTACCGGTGATCTGTCGATGGAGGAACATTCGAAATCACCATTGCCTGAAGCGTTTCTTGGCTTTCTTGAGGAATATGGAATCTACCCTTCAATTTATACGGCCTCTGGTCCAACCCCTCCTTACCTGAGGTAAGTTTAAAAGGTTATTTGATCAGTAAAATTGAAGCATATGCCTTTGTTTTGGCTGGTTTTATTGTGGTTTTACTCTGCTGTATCTTTGGGTTGTTTTGAAAGTCATTTATTTGCTTTTTTTTTTTGAAAGGTTGAAACCAGGGAGTGAAGGTGAACTTGAAGAAATTGAAGCTGAAATAAATTGTAAGCTTGAGAAAGTGAATTGGTTACCTGGTTTTTATTCCCTTCCACCTGATGTTCTGATTGCCAATTCAAAGTCATACCTGGATGGAAAGGTGAGGAATCTAGCACTTACATCAATACTTGCTGATATTTTAGCGTATCATTCCTTGATTGATGGAACATTGACATCTTTTTCTTTTATTCAGGCAGTGTTGATACCATCTGGAATTGTCTTTTGTTTTTTAGTTCTTGTTTTCGTTACATGTATAAAGTGATTCTGGTTGCTTTATTTATTCCTACTTATCCTAGGGGAACTGTTTTAAAATGTGGTTGTAGCTTATAATTTGAAGTTTCACTCTTTAATGTTTGTTCTGTGTTCCTTTTAGGATTTTTTTTCAGGATTATCAGGCATTTACTCTTTCATACCTTTCAATATTCATTTTGTTACAATTTGTATTTTTGGTGTTTCAGATCTATGGAATTGATGCTGCTTCTGGAGCTGCTGTCTCAGTTTTGAAAATATCATCAGGGGATCATATTCTTGATCTCTGTGCTGCTCCCGGTAAGTGATGTTTTCTTCATGTTATATTTATCGTCAGCCGGTCAGGAATATTAGCTTGTAAAAAGAGCAGCTAAAGCAAGGGAAGCCAAGTCTTTACAATTGTTTTCATCGAGTGAAATCCCTGAACTTATCTTTTATGGACGGCATTCTGGAGTAGTTGGCCTCAGTAAAAATGAACTATACATAACCATGTCTGATCTTGAAGTTTCATGCTCTGCTTATGACAAGGTGGAATTGCATTTAGTTTTAAATCATCTCGGAATTAACTTTTTGCTTTTCTGCTTTCTCTTGCAAAGGCAAACTAATAAGTATTTGTAACTTAATTCAGGTGCTTGTTGATGCAGAATGCACTCATGATGGATCGGTTAAACACATCCAGAAGTTTGAACATTGGGGATGGAGAACTCTTCAACGCCGGGTGTTGGATGCAGAAAGAACAGATAGCTTAACTGTACTTCAGGCAATGCTATTTTTCCATCATGATTTTTATGTCCTTTTTTTTGGTTTAGGCTCCTCAACATTGAGGAAGAGATTTATTATTTGTTCAATTTAGGCTCTTCAATTTGTATTCTACAAAAATGCTTATGCTTTTGGGCACTGTCTGCTTCATTTTTGTTTCTTCCACTATATTTGTTCAATTTAGGCTCAATCTAGTCTCTTTTTCGATCTATTTTCCTCTTTCTTTTCCTAATATCAAATTCATTTGTTTTCTTGCAGTTAAAACTTCTAAGGAATGGTTTTAGATTGCTGAAAGTTGGGGGATTGCTTGTTTACAGTACTTGCAGGTGTGTTACTTGGCAGCTCTCACAGCGTGTAAACATTTAAGTGCACGCTCCTACATATAAGAAGCACAATAATGTTCTGATTACCACTTTTACCTTTTCCATCAATTAGTTTGACAGTTGCTCCGAATGATGAAGACATCGTAGAGCAGTTGTTAAAGGAAAATGCTTCCGCAGGTAGTTTAATCTCTCCTATGAGACAAAATGGTGTCTCGAAACTTCTTTATTGATGTTTAAACACAGCCTTATTGTCACCCTTTTCCTCCATTCTTATGTGATGAGATATATTGCCTATGGGTTTTGCAGAACTGCAGGAAATACACGAAGCGAAAGAGTGGCCCTGTAAGAGTGGGAGGATACCAAAGACCTTGAGATTCGATCCCTTGACATCACAAACCAGTGGACTTTTTGTTTCAAAGTTCTCAAAACTGGCCACTTAATCAAGGTTGGTTCTTAGCCGCCTTTGCTTTATACATTCTGGAATGCAGAGAATTGTCTCTTCATTGTATCTCACATCTCTGCTGCTGCCTGTTGCCCTGCTGTCGGTACCAGACCCTTCACAGCAAACGGATTGGTTTGTATTATAGCCGCCGAGAGGGGAGTTCACTGCGATGCTGAACATTCCAAACACGGGGTTTTTCTTTTCCCCGGATAAAGGAGGCATCATTCATTCACACATCACATTTTGATCATCAGCTAATCCTGTTGTTTTGGTAGTTGGTTTTTGATACATAAATTCATTTTGAACTGAGCAAATGCTACTTTTCCTAGTGACTACATGTCATCAATGACGTGGCTCTACTCAACTTCAACAATCCATGTATTCAAATTCAAAACTCTTTTTAGAAACACTTCAAACTTGGCCTCTCAATTTTGGATTAAACAAATGAAAGCGACCCTTGGTGTCTTCAAGGGTTTACGTAGCTTTTGCCTCTTCATCCTCTCATGTCCCAAAGCCATGGATAAGATTATGACTATGGCCTTTGCTCTTGGGTAGACTGCCACCATTTTTTTATCATTACAAATTGAGAAAATGATCTGAGTTCAATATTTTTTTTTGATAGGAATAGGAGGTCTCATTAAAAACCTCCTTCTTAGTTGGCTCTTGTGGAAGGGACAACATCGAAAGGAGGAAAAGAGTACCTCATCTTATTAATAAACCAAAATTACATAATCTTACATCTTACATCATAACTTCCCAAAATAAAATACAAACCAAACCAACCATAAAACTATAATCATCAATCAATTCCCTCCTTAGCTAATTTATCTGAGTTCAATATTTAATCTTACTAGATACTAATCTTTATCACTTTAACTATGATTATATTGATGTGCGGCTGCGGGCACTGTCACCAGCAGCTGCAGACAACATTCATATTTGATTTGCCTTTGGCATCTTGGCTTTTTGACAGTCAACAACAGGACGCCTGATGCTTGATTGGAACGCCAGGCTGTAGAGCGTGGTCAGTTTGCTTTCATACTTATCAACATTTCCGACTGATTTGAGTTGCCAAATTTTCTACTAATCTTGCCAGACAACTTGAACCACTAGCTATCATAGAATAATCAGAAGTCTAACTATGTTTAAGCCCTTTACTTTGTAGAAATTTAAAATTTAATCCTTCTACCTCTTAGTTTGAAAAAAAATAATATTCTATTTTTAAAATATTTTTAGTAGATTTATATATTTAATGTCATTCAAACGCCTATTCAGTGTAGTGATTTAGCCATTTAGTGTTGCACCAACACATAAACCTGAAATTTCAAATTTCAGAATGGAAGGACTAAAACATAATTAGACCATTATTTATTGTATAGTAGGCCCCTAATCCACTGTATCTAACATGCTGACAGCTTCGATTTTCCGCTCTTCCCTTCAACTACTCTGATCCTATGAACCCAATCATGGGATTTTAAAATCAATGTGTAAATAAATAAATAGCCGCCGAATGCTTTACACTTTCCACATCATAAATCAAAGGTTAAACTAAAACTATAAATAGCAATGGTCAAATGCCAATGTTATTTTTCATTAAGCTCATACACATCAAGATTTTCGTTCTCTCTTTCCTCTTTGTCATTCTTCTGTAATATGGGTCCTCTGTTTTCAAATTCAGGAGCCGGGAATGGCTTGGGTTGGTGGTAGCTATTTGGGTTCAGGCAGTTTGTGGCAACAACTACACATTTGCTAATTACTCCACTGCATTGAAATCTCTTATGGCTCTTACTCAGTAACAGCTCAATAATCTTTCAGTTGCTAAAGATGTTGGCAAGGCTTTCGGACTTGTTTCCGGCTTCGCTTCCAATTGGCTGCCGACGTCTGTTTTACTTATCATCGGATCACTCGAAGGGCTTATAGGATATGGAGCTCAATGACTTGTTGTTAGCCAGAGAATCCGTCCTCCTTCATACTGGCAGGTAATTAAACTTCTTGTTATACAGTGCTTGCTTGTGCTTATATTAACGTATATATCTGCATGCGAAACTTTAGCATACTTCGGATTATATGATCGACTGCAAATGTGTATATTATGTTGAAAGTCAATTAAGGTGCTAAGGAAAGTCAATTAAGGGGCTAAGGGGGGGCACCGAATTCGGTGGATTGGGCACCGAATTTGGTGCATTTAATTTCTATTGAAAATGAAAATGGGCAAATTGCATTTTAGTCTCTGCACACTTTAAGGTATTTACAAGATTAGTCCTTAAGTTTCAACATGAATACCCTAACACATTTAGTTTCAAAATCATCCCAAATCATTTATTTCTCCCAATACTAGAGAGCTTTCTTGTGAGTTGTGAGTGCTTTGTAAACACCTGTAATTTTTTTCTCTTTAGTAAAAGATCTGCAGCAGTTCGGAGACATTGGCATAATTGGCTGAACTCCGTTATCAATTTCGGGTATTATTTTTCCGCTTTTATTTCGCATTCTCGTTAATCTGGTTATAGGGAAATTTCTCGTTTATTTCCCAACAACTGGTATCAAGAGCTTTTGGTGGTGAATTTTTTCGGTTTTTCTGCAAAGTTACTATTCATATGAATAGTGAATTTCGTGAATAGTAAAATTTGGTCAGCGATACGAATTTGTCGACGGAGGTGTTCTAATACACGGTGGTTCGCATGAATTATCAAAAACGATCCAAAAGAAGTCAGGTTCGAGTGAGAGCGATGGCTTTGAGAAACGAAGTGGATGAGCTCAAGGAGCTTCTCATATGCAAGAGAGAAATGAGTGAATTGGATGCGCTAAAAACCTTCTTGGAAGGACTTAGACCAGGGGCGATGCTCGGGGGAGAGCAAGGAGATGCCCAAAGACTTTCGAAGGCCATAGCTGTAGTCGGAAAGCTGACTGAGCTTGCAGGAGACAAGCTAAGTAGCGATGTGTCGTCCAAGCCCATGCCCAGAGGTAGTGGCAATAGTTGGGGAGACTGGGAAAAGATGCAGTAGAGAGATGGTAGAGAAAGCTCTTCGAATGGCCAATGTGAGCCATCGACTGTTCGTAGCCAAGGAAAGCAATCGGGAAAGAATGGCAAGGCTAAGTCCGGTGTAAAGAAGAAGGGGAGTAAGGAAAATTTGAAGTGCTACTTCTGTGATGGTCCTCATTTGATTAGAGGATGTCCCTCGAAGCATCACCTTACAGCCATCATGAAGAGGATGAAAGAATGAGAAGTAGAGGGAATTAGCGCGATTGCAAGTGTTAAAGCTACCAAGCCAGGAAAAAGACTTGGCCCGATTGATGAGATCAATGTGACCAAGCAAGGATCGATACAAGGCAATGTTGTTGATGTTGAAGCAGTCGAACCCGGAAGAAAGCCCGATGTGATTGCGAGTGTTCAAGCAATCAAGACAAGGGAAAGACTTGGTGAGGCTACATGTTCCAAAGTAGCCGAATCAAGGAGCAAGAGTGGTGCGACTATAAGTTCTCAAGTAGTCAACTCAGGATCGAAACGTGACGAGACTGCGGGTGTCAAAGCAGTCGAGCACAAGAAGGGACTCAGTGCGATAACAAGAGATAAAGCCGTCAAGCCGAGGGTGCAAAGCGAGCAAGTCTGCTCACAGTATGCGAGGATGGAGGCGTGGTTCAAGTTGAGGCTTCTCAGGCATAAAGGGACACTTAAGGAGTATGTGAGTCGATACATAAAATTCATGCTCAAAGTCTCAAGTTTGACTGAAGAAGATGGATTCTTCACCTTCATGTTCGGATTGAAGTCATGGGCGAAGAGAGTGTTGGAGCGAAGGGAAGTCAAGGAGTTGTCTAAAGCCTTGATAATCGCTGAGTTCATCAAAGAATTTGGAGTAAAAAAGAACAAGACTTCTAAAAGAAAGCCGAAAGTCGAGGGTAGCGGCAAGAAATTATGTGATGAAGGCAAGTCAGAGGATGAGGAATGTTGTTCCTCGAGTGACAGAGAAAATCCACTCAATGATGAACCAGATGGTGAGTCTGGGGAAGGTGTGTGCAGTCTTGGCACAAGTTCGAGTGTCAAATATGCTAAGCCGAGGGTAAGAGTCGAGCAAACGAGGGGCATAGACGTAAGATGCCAAAAGTGTTGCAAAATTACCCGAGGGGAGCCGAGTCATCCAAGGTGATGGATGAGCCCAAGATCGAGTTGTCTAGAGAAGAGGATGAACTCAGGATCGAAGAGGCGTTGAGAGTTGGCTCAATAAGGTTCTTTTCTGCCAAGGCGAGTAGAAGCCAAGTGCAAGAAGAGTTGTCTGTGTCCAAGGAATTTGCCGAGCATGTTCGTGTAGAGAACATGGCTTGAAAGACCATCTTAAGAGAATGCTCGAAGCAGGGGCTTGCCGAGGATGTTCAAGTGAGGAACAATCCTTCAAAGACTAGTGGACAAGAGTCGAAGGGAGCCAAGACGTTGAGGGACAAGACAACCACGGAGAAACTGCCCAATAACAAGTGGGTTTACAGGACGGTGACTACGGACAAACTGAAGTTGTATCCAGTTTCAGTTGGCATGCTAGAGTAACGAGACCAGAAATACTGCTGCATCGATCGAGGTGTGGAGACATATTAAAATCAGTCTTCAAGTGGGAGATTGTTGAAAGTCAATTAAGGGGCTAAGGAAAGTCAATTAAAGGGGGCATCGAATTCGGTGGATTGGGCACCAAATTCGGTGTATTTAATTTCTATTGAAAATGGAAATAGACAAATTGTATTTTAGTCCCTGTATACTTTAGGGTATTTACAAGATTAGTCCTTAAGCTTCAACTATAAATACCCTAACCCATTTAGCTTCAAAATCATCCCAAATCATTTTTTCCCAATACTAGAGAGCTTTCTTGTGAGTTGTGAGTGTTTTGTAAACATCTGTAAATTTTCTCTCTTTAGTAAAATATCTGCAGCAGTCCGGAGACGTAGGCATAATTGGTTGAACTCCGTTATCAATTTCGGGTATTATTTTTCCGTTTTTATTTCGCATTCTCACTAATCTGGTTATAGGAAAATTTCTCGTTTAGTTCCCAATATATTCCTTTGTCTTGGTGGCAATAGCACAACATGGATGAAAACAACGGTTCTAGTTACCTGTATGCGAAATTTTCCAAAAATCGGGGATCCTTAAGGGCTATTTTGGACTCAGCACTGCAATCTTTACGGATATCTGTACAGCTCTCTGTTCTTCAAACCCTTCGACGTTTCTCTTCATTCTTGTAGTCGTTCCGACCGTTGTTTGCCTCACAGCTGCCTTCTTCCTCCATGAATCCCCT